TGTATTGTTGTTTAAAAATTATTTTAGTAGGATATATAATTAATAAATTGTATTTGAGTATAGATTTGAATTCAAATCAAAATGTAAAATTGCTAAGTATAAATGAGTTACATTTTTTTTAATTGATATGTATTTGAGTTTTAAATAATTTGAATAAGTAGGATTTAATAGTAAATTTATTAAATTTAATAAATTGAAAAATTATATGAAATATGTACAAATTGCCCGTCATTTTCATAAAATAATAGTTGGAAGAAGTCGTAACAAATTAAGTGTACAGGAATGTGTACTTAGGTGTAGATGTAAGAAAGATGTTTATAGAAAACTTAAAGTTTTTTTTGCCAGGTTTAGTAGATTTTATAAATAATGTTAATAAAAGTATGAGATTGAATTTAATGGTAATTAAGGATATTTTAAGGTGTATAAGTTTTATTATTAAAATAAAATAATTAATATAAATTATATTGAAAGTAATGTGAGTGAATTTGGTTAAATGTAGAAAAGTAATTTTAGTTGAGTGTATCTTTTGTATCAGGGTTTATTAAAATATATTCTATTAATTATTGGATTTCTCGAATTTAAAAGAGCTAATAAATATTTTAATAGTATTATGTTAGTTAATATGGAATAATTATTAATAATAGTTTATTAGAGGAGATATTCTAGTCAATTTTAAAGATATCTTTTTTTTTAATTTAAATTTAATTTATCCTTAAAAATTTAGTAATGTATTTATTTATTATAAAAATGTTATTATTTAAGGAGATAGGTTGCGGGATAAACTGTTGTCTAGATTAAAATATATAATAAGATTTTAAGAGGTTTGATAAAAATAATGCTAATAATATTTTAGTTTTATGAAAAAAATTTAAAAATTCATTATTTGCTTGTGATTAATTAATATGTTGTTAGAGGAAAGTAGATTTTGGATTAATTTAATAGAGTAGAAATTTAATTAATTAAGAAAAAATTATTTGTAATTAATAAAAATAAATGGTAATGATAAAATAAGTATAATGGTGGAATTTATAAGAATTATAGAATTGTGTGATATTAATTATAGAAATTCGGCAAATAGTTAGGTTCAACTGTTAAATAAAAACATAATTTTTGATTATAAAAGATGTTTACTGCTCAATGATTGGGAAATTAAATGGCTGCAGTATTTTGACTGTACAAAGGTAGCATAATTAATTGTTTTTTAATTGTAAACTAGTATGAACGTAAGAATGAAATTTAAGCTGTCTTAAATTAACTTACTATTGAATTTAGTAGTTAAATAAAAATTTTTAAATGATACTATGGGACGAAAAGACCCTATAGAATTTTATATGTGAATTTATTGTTTTAATATAATTTTTAGTTGAGATAAGTTTATATATTTAGTTGGGAGGATTATTAAATTTAATAAACTTTAATTTAAATAGAAAAATATTGGTTAGTATTTAATAAAGAAGAGAGATTATTATATAATTAAAAAAGAATTAATTATCTTAGGGATAACAGCGTAATAATTTTAGAGAGATCATATTGATAAAATTGATTGCTCGATGTTGAATTAAGGGTAAAATTAAATGTAGAAGTCTGATATTTAAGTCTGTTCGACTTTTAGAATCTTACATGATTTGAGTTTAGATCGGTGTGAGCCAGATCGGTTTCTATTTATAGTTAATTTATAAATATTTGTACGAAAGGACTATATTTGTGGATTTTAAAATTTTATAAAAAGAGTAAAAAATTAAGTTAATTTTAGTTACTTTGGCAGATTAGTGCATTAAATTTAGAATTTAATAAAATATAAGATATAAAAGAGAGATTATATAGATAATAAATTTTAAAGTATTTTGATTATATAATATTAAATGTAATATAATATTAAAAGTTTGGTTATTTTGGAGTTGTATGTGTTAATAAGAGTAGCTTTCTTGGAACGTAAGATTTTGGGTTATGTACAGGAACGAAAAGGTCCAAATAAGGTTGGATTAGTGGGGTTATTGCAACCTTTTAGGGATGCTATTAAATTATTTAGAAGAGACTTCCGGTCGAGGTGAGTGACAGAGAAGACATATTTTGTGCACTTCGTAAGGAA